GGGATTTCGGGTTTAGGATTTAGGGTTTAGGATTTAGGATTAAGAGTTTAGTGTTTATAGGATTTCGGGTTTAGGATTTAGTATTTAGGGTTTATAGGATTTAGGGTTTATAGGATTTAGGGTTTAGGGTTTAGGGTTTGGGGTTTAGGGTTTAGGGTTTAGGGTTTATAGGATTTAGGGTTTAGGGTTTAATAGGGTTTAGGGTTTAGGGTTTTAGTGTTCAGGGTTTTAGGGTTTAGGGTTTAGGGCTTTAGGGTTTTAGGGTTTCAGGCATTTGGGGAGCCCTTTTGAAATCGACCGGCTTTAGGCTTTAGGGAGTTACACTTCGTCGAGGTGTTGTGCCGCTTGGTCCGGAGAGTTTGACCTTAACAGGTCTACTTAACCCAGCACCCTGCTGTGTGCCCCCGGCTGTGGCTCGGGTTTCGTGGGATCGGCCAGGTTCCAAGCCCGGGTTCCAATTCTGCAAAAAAGCTGATCCGAAGCCGTAATTACGCAGAAGTCACATGTAAACATTGCACAACCATGTAACATCTCTATAAACGCTTCCAGAAAGAGTTAAACCAACGTCAAAATCAAGATTGTTAGTAAGAAGCTGTTCAGACCCGAAGCCCCGCCGAACACCACGACTCTTGGAACGACGATGAGAGGCAGACTCTCTAACCTAAAAGCCTACACCTAGGCCCTTATAGTTAAAGGAAACTACAGGTGGGGAGTTTAGGGGATATAAGGCTTCTATAAGGCTTCCATAAGGTATATAGACCTTCTATAAGGCTCCTGTAACGGTAACTACCCACCTGAAAATGTCCTAGATATAGAGCCTTGAACGGTTATACAAAGAAGCCATTAAAAAAGACACTATGCAAACTACCAGGCCCTTGTAAGGCCCTTATAAGAAACTTCGATGAGGGCAGTTCTCTAAATTAGCTTCCCTTTTAGGGTCCTGTTTATAAGGGGGCCGTACTATTTTGGGTTCATAAACAGGGCCCCTAATCCAGAGAACTACCCATGAAACTCGATATGTCAGCCGGATAGGGGGTACAGGTTTAGACCCCCTGTAAAAAACACTTGTAGAGCTCTCATCAACGTCGTGCACTGGGAGTTTTGAGGGAACCCGCTCTTAACAAGAATATCCCAGACAGCCCTCATAAGTCCCTTCTATTTTGGGTGTTCCCTATTATAAATGTAGTAAAATATGACCCCAAACCCTAGTCTAATTACCAAGGGCCCTAGGCCCTAAACCCTTAGAGTAGCCTCCATAGAACCCTTTCGAAGGAACCCCCTAAACACTAAACCCTAGACCCTAAACCCTAAGCCCTTTAGAAGGAACCCCCTTTCACGGGAACCCCCAACACCACATTCTAAGTATTACAGCCCCTGTTTTAGGTCCGTGGCTTCTGGCCCACCATCGGGGTGAGGGATATGCCAATACGCTGGTGGAGAACTTGGGTTCCTGGGCAAGCTCAGAAGGTTGCCTTGAAGGGTAATGCAGGGGCGGGTTTAGGGTTTAGGGTTAAGGGCAATGTAGGGTTTTGAGGGTTTAGGGCTTGGGAAATACCAATACTTACTAATTTGGGTGTTCCTTATTATCATTGTGCTACAATGATTACGGCCCCTATATTACATACAAGGGTTCGTATTTCGTAGGTAGTCTTAGGGAGACCCCTTAAAGCGGACCCTCTTATAACCCTACTTCTAAAGGAGGCCTTATTGAAAGGGTCTATATCCCCAAGGCCCCCCCTAATCCTAACTCCTACTTATAGACATCTGCAAGGCTTCTAGGATTTGTAGGGCCTCAGGGTGGCCTTGATACTTAGAATAAGGTCTCGGTATGAGTTTTTCATAGAAACACATAGGGCTGTTGGACTGTAGGACTGTAGGTGACTCCAATCGGATACTGATATCAACCGCCAGACCTCTATGTAACCTCAGCCTCCAGTTTTGAAGTTTTGAGCGGGGAGTCGTGCAAGAAGGATACCAAAACTTGAACCCTAAACGCTAAAATCCTATGACTTTACGGCTTTGAGGTTTGGGGCTTCCGAAGTCTTCAGGGTGTAGGGGTAGTTAGGGCTTTCCAAGCTCGCAATGCGACACTATCCTCCTTAGGAGCATCTGCCCACCCCACACGCAGGATCCAGATCTGAACTCTAAAGCCTAAACCCTAAACCCCTAAACCCTAACCCAAGCATCCAAACAAATCAAAAGAGGGGGAACCTCAGAGGAAAAAGTCTAAGCTCTAGGCACCCTGAATCTCTGAATCTGAAACCTAGACCCTAAGTAAGACCCTAAACCTTAACGCCTTAAACCATAAGCCCTGAACCCTAAGCCTCTAAACCTTCATCGCCTGAGATTTGAACCTTCAACCTTAAACCCTAAACTACCCTAAACTCTAAACCCTAAACCTTAAACCCTAAAACCTAAACCCTAAACCATAAACCCTAAACCCTAAACCCTAAACTCTGAACCTTAAACCCGACATCTGCCCTTCAACCAATGAAATCAAACTTGGCCCTGAAGCCCAAATTCCCGGTCCATGTACCCATAGGGTTTAGGGTTTAGGGTCTGGGTTTAGGGTTAGGTTTTAGGGTTAGTGTTTCGTGACGATCGTGTTTAGGGTTACGGTTTAGGGTTTAGGGTCAACCCGCAAACCCGCCAAGGGGTTCAGGGACTGAGGCGGTTGAGGGATTTCGTGGTTCAGAGGTTTAGGGGTTTTGGAGTTTAGGGTTTCGGGGGTTTAGGGGTTTACGGTTTAGGGGGTTCAGGGTTTAGGGTTCAGAGTTTACGGGTTTAGGGTTTAGGGGTTTAGAAAAGCCCTCCAATCCTGCAATCCGGAGCTCCCTGTACCCTATACCCCATTCCAAAGCACTGAGGTGTGCCTGCCAAAGCCGGCCCGATATTCTTGTGCTTTGCGTGCCATGAGCGGATGCCATTCCCCCTGCAGCTCACCGCAGCCAAAGGTAGAGTGTTGGGTCTAGTTAGGGTTTAGGTTTCCACCAGTAAGGAATCGTAGAGTTTGGAAGGGTTGCAGCTTGTTCAAAGGTGTCATGTAGGGATTGCAGAGGGGCTGTCGTTGTTTTGGAGAGGTTCAATCGGGTTTGATGGTAAGGGTTTTTTGGTTTTTGATGAGGTCTTACTATAGTTTGGGGTTTGCTGCCCTAAACCCTAAACCCTATGCTGGCCTTGTATGGATTGAAAGTTTCGGGTTGGGTGTTGGTTGCCATGGTTTCGCGTTCCTTGTTGAAGGGCCCGGGTTCATTGGGAGACCAGGGTGAAACCCCTAAATTTTACCCCCTAGACCACTAAGCCCCTAAACCACTAAACCCCTAAATCCAAGCCCTAATAGCCTAAGCCCTGAACCTGAGACCCCAAACCCTAAACCTTAAACCCTAAACCCTAAACCCTAAACCCCCAAACCCCCAAACCCCAAACCCCAAACCCCTGAACCCCAGACCCTCAGTGCTGTCGGCCCGAAACCCGAAACCCTCTAAAGCCTAGCGATGCCGAGAGCCCTAAACCCTAAAGTAGATACGTAATGCAGGTCTTTGGGGTTCCTTTAACGGGTCTTTAAAGGGCTCTATAAGGGATCGATCATAGGGTTCTATGATCTAGGGCAAAGCCCCTAAACCTCTGGAGCCTTGAGCCCTACTGAAGCCGGTTTAGGGTTTAGGGATTAGGGCTTCGGTAGAAGCACCAACAAGCAGCCCAACGCCACTGCGCAGCACCAAACTCTAAAACGTGCAAATCTGCTTCCTTCTGTGCCATAAGGCATCTGATTAAGAATATCCCTGTTGCATCATACCACAGAAAATACCCTAATGCAGCCCAAATCCCTACCGTAATATTTCCGGCCCCCTTTTTACTCGGAGTTTCAAGCATAATCAGCTGAGGCCAAGTGAGCAAAGGGCCACGAACCAGATTTATACTTCGCCGCTTCAGCTTCTTGGCGTGGCTTTAGGTGCTTGTTTGTTGTTTAGGGTTTGAGTTTAAGGTTTTGGGGTAGTGGGAACAGGGTTGCAAAACACCAGAATTGTGGTGTCAAGGTGGTGTTTGTTTCTTTCAGGGCGAATGCAATAATGTCGGATCCCCTCGTGGCCACGAACCCCCCTGAACCCTAAACCCTAACACCCTACCTAGAACAAAACCCGAAACCCTTAACCTGAAACCCTAACCCCTAAACCCCCTAAACCCATAACCCCCAAACCCAAAATCCCCCTCAACCCTAAACCAAACAGTATTTTCTAGAGTAAAAAACTCGAGGAAAAACACTGAATTCCTCGAAAACACGCGCAGCCATGGCGTTCCACTCTCCAGTATGGTACGAACCCAAACCCTCTAAACCCTAGACCCTAAACCCCCTAAACCCTAAATCCTATTCTGAGATTAGGAGGAAGTTCGGGCTAGAAGAGCCATTGTCGGGATTATCCCCGGCTGGAAGTAAGCCTTACCCATCGGCTCCATAGTAGTTCCTTTGGGGGGGGGGTTTAGTTGTTTAGGGGTTTAGGTTTGAGGGTTTTAGTTCCTTTTGGGGGGGTTTAGGGGTTTAGGGTTGCGGGGTTTAAGGGTTTAGGGGTTTGGGGTTGGGGGTTGGGGTTTAGAGTTTCGTTCCTTTTCGGGATTACCTGATAGGATCCCAAATATAAACCACAGCAAGGAGCTATTTATGGGTACACCCTGATCCCCGAAACCCAAAGCACCCCAATCCCGAAACGGGATTAGGGTTTCGGTTCGGTTAGGGTTTGGGTTTAGGGTTTAGGGTTTAGGGTTGAGGGTTTAGGGTTTAGGGTTTAGGGTTTCGGTTCGGTTTAGGCTGGACCCTATACCCGAACCGCCGAGACACCAATTTCAACAGCGCCAAAGGACCAAGATCTTGCTTTGAGTTCTGTCTGTCAGGTCTAGGAATGCAGGTCCTGGGGGGGGGGGGTGGTAAAACACGGGCCCGTTTTTTTTTTGACCCCTCCCTCTTTTTTTTGACCCCCCAGCTTTTTGTTTGACCCGCCCCCCCCTCTCCGGCAGCAACCCCTG